TCTATACTACTATGCAAGGTGCTACCATCTGAACATTTTTCAGAATTAAAAAATTTAAGCATGCAAACTTTGATAGATGGCAGCACATTGCTCGTCTTACAATTATTAAATATTCGACAAAGAGCGTAATAGTATGTGACAAAGACAGATATGCGTAGCGCCCTGCCACCTAAGCACTTTTCATCTTCGATTGAAACTAAAAAAATAAAAATACAAATTTCGGAAGATGGCAGCACCTCCTCCGTTCGTAGCAAGGAGCACAAAGTGTACGTCAAGGATATATATATATTTGCTACAGACAAGGAGCATGATAGTATGTGACAAAGACAATAATAGACAGATTAGTTCTACCTTTTCATCGTTACGTGGTGATGATGTTTAGTGTTCATGAATCGATCAAATTTCCATTTACGAAAAAAACTGATTAATCAGATTAATTTATGATAATAGAAACCCTAACTTTGAAGAAATTACACATTTGCATTGAATATGACTGTGATGATTGATGAGATTACAATAGCGTTATGTATTTTTCAGTTTAATAAAAGTTAATTATTCCCGAAAGTAACTTTGTAATATTGTATTAAATGATAGTTAAATATTTAATGAAAATGATAATTATAATTTAATTATTATTCATATCAAAATGAAATAATAATCGAAGCGAACTGAGAATTCTAATTGTAGGGAACATTTCTTTCCTCTTGCAAGTTGCAATTTCATTTTTAGATAATTACTTCTATCTTTTAACTTACTTCTAGCCTACCGCGTTTCATGAGAATCCAATTGCAATCAAGTTGGTGATCTGCTTGAATATGATATCTTCCATCAGTCCAGAATACGGCCTTATCCCAAGTGACGAGAGCTTCTCCTGCACTGCCGTAGAATCCAGTGATAAATTCTCTTCTCATATCGTGAGGATCCAGGGAATCGCTCTAATCAATACAGAGACAGTGATACACACATGTACATAATTATGTGCATTTGTAATTGCGTTGTATCAACAACCGTTTCAGTAAGCTTACATACGTATTATTAATTTTACATTTAAGAGACGGACAGCACTTATTATTCGTGAAAATCACTACGATTATTATAAATATAAAAATTATATTATTAAAAATTATATTATAAATTATATTATAAAAAAATATTATTATATAATACAATATAATAATATTATTAATTATATTATAAAAAAATATTATTATAAATATAAAAATTATATATTAAAGGTTAATGTTATATATATTAAATGAAGCTTCAATCTTGTAAGATAGAGACAAGATATTGAGAAGTAGATCTGAATCTTTATTATAAATGTTCCTTTTAATCTAACAAGAATTGGGATTGGAATTAAGGGAAACTTCGAAATTCTGCAAACTCGAAATCTCACGCAATCATTATATACCTTCAAAGGATCCTTGTGATCGTAATAAACCAAGTTCATTGTCTGAAAATTGAAGGACACCGAGAGAGAATAATCGTAATTAATCTTAATTTTTTTTACTGAGAATAAATTAAAAAATTTTTCCAAGGTTCAACATTCTTCAGAATAGTAATTATAAAAATAATCTTTTGATAATTCATAGACGCAATAATACTAATTTTTTTATTTACTACTATGTAATAAATGTATGTATGTGATTGTAATTACCTGATGCGCGTCGTCGGAAGTGACGATGTATCCATCAAGAGGTGGTCCTTGTATAGAAGCAACTCTAGTCATTTCTGATCTTAATTGTTTCAATCTTAATGTAGTATTCTGCCTATCGGCTGGTTGTTTGTGTGCCGTTGTTGGACAGTGGTATCTTTTTGCTCCATTGTAATTCAGAAGTGGCTCGACGACTTCGTTTTGGAAATAGTATGCCTCTACCAGCCCTGTTGAAAATGACGAAATCTTTGTTAAAGCAAATTTCCATTTAAATTGATCACTAGACTTCTCCCTTATTATATATAGTTAAGATAATATATATAATGTTAACTACATTAAATAGTGTGTCAAAATTGTGAAATGAT